ACTCCAAATTTTATTAGTTCTCCTTAGAAATGAAGTAGAAATGCTTTCTAAACTGCTATACTACATATATAGTCTACAAAATCCTGCCTGCTAAAATTAGGCTCAGAATTAAAAATTCTGGCATTTGGCAAACCCAACTTGGGAGCATAGCTTTTACCTCTCAAAGACCAGCCAAGTCCTTCTAGCAGAATTCAGAAGAAAGACATTGGAAAGACATCCCTCTGCTGAGCTAAAAGTCCTATTCCATTGAACTCTTTCTCTCCCTCAATGTCTTTAACTGCACAATACAAAGTTTATTTAACTTTGAAAATTTGTACCTAGAACTGATATTTTTCATCTTTCCCATCCTTTTTTTCTCTTTTGTGTTCTGTTTTTTATAGTAAACCTATGAATAGGGAATGTCTTGTTCTCATTGACTGTACTTTCACACCGAACAGTGGCATAAAAATTCATTGAGCAAATAAGAGTGGTCTCTAAATACTCTTATTGTTGTTACAAAACACAAGCAAATTAGATTTTTAATTTGGGGGTAGCAACAAGGAGGTACTTCCAAAGACACCATCAATAGTCATAATCTACCACTGTACACAATGTACATTTCATTAGAACATTTAGGGCAAAAGGCTATTTTTTTTTAAAGTGAATTTAAGGCTATTTTCCAAATAAGCAACCATTATTAAACCAATCTATTATAAACAAAGGCAGTAAAACATCTTGGTCCCCAATCATTTCCCAGAGTCTGTAATTAAACAATTGAATCACTCAGAGAAGCTGTATTGTTTCTTCTTTCATATTCATAGGAACAATTCTCATTTTAACAAGAATTAATGTTGGGGGGGAAAGGTTGGATTGCTCAGTCACTAAGAGAATGGATTCACATAGTGTAATGTCATAATATGCTTTGTGCCATGTGAGAAATAAGCTACTGTATATTATAAATCATGTATCATGGTATTACTTGGGTAATAGGTAACTGACATATTAAACCATGACTTAGATTAAAAGTGTTACATTATACTTACAAAATACACCTACTGCTACCTTATCCAGAGCATCATTACATTTCATTTTGACTGCTGCAGATAGTTAAATAAACCATGTCCCATTATTGTTCTATCTTGGCTGAATAATTTAAGTGCATTTAAAAGTTTCTCTGAATCCTGTCTTGATGACTGTCATCCTCCTCCTCACCCAACATAAATATTAATTTTAATTTTTTTTTACATTAACAAGGAAAATAGTTGATCCTTGCAATAGACCTAAAACATTTTAACTCAGGTGAACAATTATAAGCCTATACATGCCATATGGTACTCAGCATCCTCCTTATTTAGGATATTGACCGCCTCCAATTTTAGAAAAATCTTATTTAGGATAAATAAAATTTGCTCTCTATTTAAATACACAAACACATATGCTCAAACAGTGTGTGTGTGTGTGTGTTTGTAGATTTTCATGGGTACAGGTATGTAGGTCTAGGTGTGTTTGGGTCTTTTCCCGTGTAAGATTAAGATACTCTTAATCTTGCATGGGAAAAGACCCGAACACACCTAGACCTACATATATATGTACGGTATGTATATATATGTGTGCACACACGCAATTTTCTAAATTTGCTTGACCACACGGCAGCAGTCTAATCTGTATCAGTTTCTGTGCATAAACCCTATAGATCCACCCATTACAGCAAAATGAAATAAGAATGTATCACATTTCTTCTCAAACATCAAAAACGATGGGATTGAGGATCTCCATGGGAACAATCTAAGAGGGGAACAATCTAAGCACCTATTTTCCTTCCAAGGCAGTTTTTAGTTTTCCCAACCAGAAAAGTTTCCTGCATCTCTCCCCAAAGTAACAAAGACCAAGCACTTTCAATATTTCTTAAAAGAAAAATAACTACAAAATAAGTTGACTGAAAAATAGTTCCCCAGTTCTCTTATAGGCTAACAATATCACTCCTGATCACTCCTTTCTAAATCTTTAAAAGTTATTTTAAAAACCCTCTCTTGTGACAGGTGGGGGAAATTCTTCAATCTCCCCCGCTTAAAGGACCCTAAAGGACCCCTAGAATGGTTAAGCAATAGACAACTTGTTTCTTCCAATCTCACTTTAGACAGTTTGTATTTTATTCTTCTTCATACAAGGGAACCCTATCGAGATGCTACAAGAATGGAGTTCAAACATATCCACAATTATAACTTTATTCCACAGAGAATTCCTGCATCCTATAAGTAAATAGTGGCAGCAACGTCTTTTCCCATGTTATCTATGGAAACTCCAAATTTGACCAACAACAGGATTATATGTTCTTAACCCACCAAATTTAAGACAGATTATATTTACTTTCTTAATACATTCCCTATAATGAGAGTCCAGAAGAATCTTCAACTTTTTATCCCAGTGCCACCATACTCAAAGACAAATATAAGTGGTCCTCAACTTATGACCACAGTTTAATACAAAATTTGTTGCTAAGCAAGACAGTTGAGTGAGGTTTGCTCCATTAAGTGAATCACTGCGTTAAGTTAGTATCGCAGTTGTTAAATGAATCTGGCTTCCCCATTGACTTTGCTTGTCAAAAGGTGATTAAATGACCCCTGGGGCACTTGCAACTATCATAAACATGAGTAAGTTGTCAAGTGTTTGAATTTTGCTCATGTGACCAATGGGCTGCTGAAACAATGGTAAGTGTGAAAAACTATCATGTCACTTTTTTCAATGCCACTGTAACTTGAAGCAAGCCTCAGCAAACTGTTGTTAAATCAAGGACTGCCTGTACTCCTCTCATTGTGAGGAGGGGAGGAGGAGAAGGAGAAGGAGGAACAACTACCACCATAACAAAAGTACAAGAAACTATATTACATCCAGGTATTTTTCCATCTCCCTCAGAAGAAATATATTCAATATTTGTTTGGCTTTCCCACACAAAGACTCATTTTGAGAAACCCCTTTCTGTGGAATTCAGCAACCACCTATTCCAGACTATTTAAAAAGAAAATAGTTCAAGTGGCATTGGGAGACTTAAAGTAACCAACATTCTTAAGATTTTCAACAAAGCTTTCCTCTCTAAAGTCTTCCTCATAGAGAGGAACTGTAGAACATCACTTAGCTACCCACAGGCCATCTCAAAACTTCATGAAGAAAAAAACGACAGATCATTTGCTTTCTTCTGTCATCCCAGGCATCCTTCAATAATGACAGCATGCTATCAACAAAAAAGAGAGGAGTGGGATCATTGCTTTAGAGTTAAGACCCCCTGCAATCCACATTTTAATAGCCTGACTATAACTTTGTTGCTTGTATCTTATGATTTAAATTGTTTAATTAGTATCCTAACATGATTTATGTTGATTGCTTATTTAGTATCCATGACTATCACTAAGTGTTGTAGCTAATGTATTATGATGAATATATTTTTACAATGACTACGATAATGATCTATCACTATTGTTGTATGTACACTGAGAGTTTATGCACCGTGTGTGTCTGATCACATTTGGCTAATAAAGAATTCTAATTCTCATGAAAGAATGGCATATTCCTATATAACTAAATATCTATTTCTCCCCACAGGAGATGAAGAAACTATCACATACATAAAGTCATCACATAAATTGGCTAATTTAATGCTAACTAGAAAAGAACCAAAAATATATATTTCAGCTCTTTTTGCCTCTATTCAAACTTAATGGGGTTTTTTTTGTCCTGTTGAGGTGAACTCCACCCATTTTGGCCATGCCATTACTGTATACAGAATCACAGAATAACAGAGCTGGAAGGGGCCTTGGAGGTCTTCTAGTCCAACCCCCTCCCTGCTCAGGCAGGAAACCCTATACCATTTCAGACAAATGGTTGTCCAATCTATTCTTAAAAACCTCCAATGTTGGAGCATCCACAACTTTTGGAGGCAATCGTTCCACTAATTAATTGTTCTGTCAGAAAATTTCTCCTTAGTTCTAAGTTGCTTCTCTCCTTTCCTCAAAAGAAAACGAAATATTCCAGCAGCCTTCTCCAAACTTGAATGCTGCCATTCCTGTGCAATTTGGGTGCAGGGTGGGTACAGCTTTCCCTCAACCCGATGCCTCTAATCAACTGAACATTGGAGTGCAGATAGTCCTCGACTTACAACCGTTTGCTTAGTGACCATTCAAAGTTACAACGGCTCTGAAGAAAGTGACTTATGACCATTTTTCACACATGACCATTGCAGTATTCCCCCCCCCCCATGGTAAGGTGATCAGAATTCAGCTGCTTGGCAACCAACTCATATTTTTGACCTTTGATGTATCCCAGGGTCATGCAATCCCCTTTTGTGACCTCTTGACCAGCAAACTCAAGGGGGGGGAGCCAAATTCACTGAACAACTGCATTACTAATTCAACAACTGCAGAGATTCACTGAACAAGGGAGTCAAGGAAGGTCATAAAAATAGGACAACCTTCACTAAACAAACCCCTCCCTCAGCAACAGAAATGTGTGGCTCAATTTCGGTCGCCCATTCGAGGACTACCTGTCGTACCTAACCAGTCTGCAGAACTCCGGCTTAGGAAATCCTGCTTCCATCCTAATAATAATCCCCATCAAAATTACATTTAAAGAGCCCTCTCTATTTTACACCCTCCTCCCTGGCGTGAAAGTCGGCCCCACTTTCCTCCCACAAGAGCCCGCAAGGGGTGAAAGAACACACCCACACGGAGGCCTTCCACCCCCCCACTCCTCCTCCCCGCCCAGCTCCTTCCTACCACTCTCAAGCCAAGAAGCCCGGCTGGGCTCGTCCTCACCAGAGCTGGCCTGCAAGCTATCTATCCTTCGGCCGCTTCCCAGCCCTTGGCGCGGAAAGCACCGCTCCGGCTGAGGAAAGGAGGAAAGGCGGCGACCCCCGTCCTCGCACCCTCTTGTTACCAAGCCTCCCCCGAGCTTCTTTCTTCTCCCTCCCCGCCTCTCTAGAGAAGCCCATTTGCCCTGAGTGCCCCTCCTCACAGCCCAGGCCAGTTTACCTGCTCGTCGAAGCGGTTCACTACAGCCTGCACCCATTCCACCGGCTTGTGGGCCGCCATCTCCCGCCGCCCGCCAGGCCGAGGGGGAGACGGGGACAAGAAGGGTCCGGCGCCCCCTTCCCTTCGGCTCAGTGCAGCCACCGAGCTCTCAGCTCCCCTCCTCCTCCTTCTCAGCCATCAAAGCCCACCGGCCACCATGACACCACACCGGAAGCGGGAAACCGAGTCCGCCCCCAACACCAGCCCGGGCCGCCAGAGGGGAGAGACAAGTGGGAAGGGGTGGAAGGGAAGGGGGGGGGGGAAAGAGACGAAAAAAGCAAAAGCGCATGCGTGACGAGCTCGGCCAAAAAAAAAAAGAGAGAGAGAGAGGGGACGGGCAGACGTGAGGCCAGGCGCACGCGCGCCGGTGCACGGAGGCTAAGGAAACCCTCGGCCAGCAACGCGCATGAGCGGGAGGGGAGGAGTGGCGCTTGCGCAACGGGCTAGGAAAAAGGCGGGGCCAGGTTCGCGGCATGCCCGCGGGTAATACGGCATCAGCTCGCGGAAAGTGTAAGAACTGCGCGTGTGCAACAAACTAAGACGAGACCCGGAAGAAAAGGAAATGCGGAGAAAAGCCAATGAACTGCGCGCGCCGGGGAAGGCGATGACAGCCAGTGCGCACGCGTTAACTCGCTCGTAAGGCAGCCAGGTGTAGAAGTACTGCGCACGCGCAAAAGCAAAGTGGTATCTTCCAGGTGTTAACAAACCCGGAATTATTAAATTACTTAACTCATATTTCAGCAGAAATGAAATAACGTTGGGGGGAAAATTATTTAAGCTGCTCTGAAGGTTCTAGGATAAATAAAAGATACATCAAATATAAAATGAGTGTTATGGTTATATCTTTATTAAACCAGTTCTAGGACAAAACTGAAAATGTCTACATTTTCCTAAGCATTTTCTCAGTTAAAAGAGTAAAAAAATGGTTTTAGAATGGATTTTGCATTTTATTACTGCCTTAAAATAATGCATGTAGCTTCCAAAACCTGGTTAACAAGCAAAAAAAAAAAAAAAAAAAAGTTCAGATGATTCAAATACTAATCCACAGGTCATGAAGGCTGCTTTATCATGGGCTATGTTCCAATCAGATGATTTAGAAGTAAACAAGGATCCTTGGAAATTTATGTTATGTTGACCTTGTGGTATTTCGCACTTCATTTGTGGGGGGGTTTTTTTGTTTTGTTTTTAAGAAATGGAATAGAAGGTAGCAGATACTCCACTGAGTACTGAAATTGCTTTGCACTGCATCCAAATCTCCATTGTTACATCAGATATTTTCCTCCTTCCTCATGTTCCGATTTGCTTACTATTTTGCCTGCCCCAGTTCCCAAAAACTCAGGAGGTTGCATAATATACAGATGGATGATGTAGGTGCTGCAAGTCACAAAAAGTTATGCCTGTTGATAAATTTTATTAATTAGAAAAGATGCTATGAGGTCCCTGATGTTTCACTATCAAACTAATTTGGATCTCCAATTATAACAAATATATCTATGTAATCTTTTGAACACAACACTGAAGAGCATTGCAACTGCCTTCATCATATACATATTTCCTAATCCAACCTACAACCGTGAAATTTCCTAATGGTTTCTCAGCCAAATGTTAGTCAGGTCCAACTCTGACTAGATTTTGACCTCTGAAGTTTATCCCTTATCAACTCTGCCTTAGATGGAACTGTATCCTAATAACCAACTATTACTTGTTTTATGCAGAGATGGGAACTCTTCCCATTTACATCCACAAACAGAATTTAAAGCTGAAACTGAACATTTATGTTAAAGTCCTTCCAAATGCCTAGTTTTAGAATTGGCAGTCATTCCAATTTCAAAACTAGCACCCTTAATCTTGATATTTCTGTTAATTTAGCAGCAAATTTCTGTAGTGACTTTGTCCGCTAGAGGTCACCAAAACTTTTTTCACCCTGGAAATAATGAGGAAGAAATGTGGGGAGGGTGTCTTTTATCTGTTTAAAAGTACTGAAATGCTGCATTTTAAAAATTTCCTTCATGTTATTCATCCTTCTGCTCTGAGGCAACCTAATTGCTTAATGCAAATGTGTATCCCGTCTTTTCTAAATTTAAGCCATGAATTGCAACTGGATTGTATTGTAGAAATTGCCATTAAAATTTTTAAATGTAAAGCTGAGTAGCAGACTAAAAGGAGAACTATTCTCCATGAAAATTTGTTCCTTTCCATTTATGGATTCATATCCAGAGATAGATAAAAATAAAGAAATAAAAAAGAACAAAAAATACATTACATTGAGTTAAGAAAAATCAAGGTAACAAGCATATGCAATATTATTTTTGATCTTTTTAATACAGATGATTTAACCAATAAGAAATCTAAATATAAGTCTCAAATTTTCTCCAATTAGCTGCTGGAAAACAATCTGGAGAATACCATGAATAGCCAGGACAACAAATTGATTATCAAACAAATCAATCTGGACTTCTTACTTGAGGCATAAATAATTAAGCTCATATTTTGAATTCATGACAGATAATCCTCGATTTGCAACCACAATTGAGCCCAAAATTCCTGTTGCTATGTGAGACATTTGTTAGGTGAGTTTGTTCCATTTTACAACTTTTCTTGCCAAAGTTGTTAAGTGAATTACTGCAGTTGTCAAGTTAGTAACATGTTGTTAAGTGAATCTGGCTTCCCCATTGACTTTGCTTGACCCCAGGACACTGTAACCATCATAAATACAAGTTACTTGCCCAAGCATCTGAATTTTGACAACGTGACAATGGGGATGCTATAATAGTCATAAGTATGAAAAATGTCATAAGTTGCTTTTTTCAGTGCCGTAACTTTGGTCACTAAATGAGCTATTGTAAGTCGAGGACTTTTCCCTCTGAGAAAACTGGAAGGAAAGAGAATGGGAGAACGAGCAGCAGCAAAGTGGATTGACTCATAGAAGGGAATATTTGTAGCTCGGAGTTGAAATGATGGCTTGGTGTTCTCTGAGCTTAGTGGTTTTCTTGCAGATATCTCATTACCAAATTAGGTAACGTCATCACTGCACACAGTTAGGAGACCTGAAGAACCAGACCAGAAATAGATCATACTGGAGAATGTCTGTCTAATCAGTGGTTCTCAACCTTGGCAACTTCAAGATGTTTAACATTTCAAATCATGGTATTACCTACTCTGTATTTCAGCATTGATGCTACAACTCATGTTCTTCAAAAAAAGTATACCTGCACAGATGTTTCTGTTCCTATCATTATTTCCACTATGAATCAAATGTAATACAGTATAATATAATGTAAAATAATGTAATGTAATTTAAAGAGCTACCTGATGTAGTGGTTTGGGGCACCAGCTTAGAATACAGAAAACTGAGGCATGAAAGCAGTAGGTAACTTTGGCAGGTCACCAGAGGTGGTATTCAGCAGGTTCTGACCAGTTCTGGAGAACCGGTAGCGGAAATTTTGAGTAGTTTGGCAAACCGGTAATGGAAATTTTGAATAGTTTGGAGAACCGGTGGTGGAAATTTTGAGTAGTTCAGAGAACCGGTAGCGGAAATTTTGAGTAGTTCGGAATATCCCCTCTGACTAGCCCCACCCTCATCTATTCTCTGCTTTCCAAGTCCCAGCTGATCGGCTGGGTCTTCTTTTGTTGCCCTGTACAGGAGAACGGAGCTGGAAAGCAGGTTAGTGGTGGGGAGGGAATGGGATTTTGCTGTAACCTTCCCCCAGGAGTGGGGAGGGAATGGGGATTTTACAGTATCCTTCCCCCGCCACGCCCAACAAGCCATGCCCACCAAGCCAAGCCACACCCACTAAGCCACACCCTCCAAGCCACGCCCACAGAACTGGTAGTAAAAAAAAAATGAATCCCACCCCTGCAGGTCACTCTCCCTTAGGCCTTCAGGAAAAGGGTAGGGCAAATCACTTCTGAAACTGTATTAATAAAATTGCAAGGCTTCATGTAAATCCTCAAGAGTCAAAACTTACTAAAAGCCCCCCTCCTTCAAATATATATGCCCGCCTCCCTCAAATGCATTGTAACCTGAGAGTACGTGGTTTGTTAGGATTAGGATAGGAAAACATTTGTATATGTGTCAATGTGGATCCTATATTATTACAACTATTCATTTAAGTGACCATTCAAAGTTACAAAGGCCCTGAAAAAAGTGACTTATGACCAATTTGCACATTTACAACTGCTGGTCAAGTGATCACAATTTGGCAACAGTGTCTTGGGGTCGTGTGATCCCCTTTTGCGAACTTCTGACAAGCAAACTCAATGGGGAAGCCAAATTCAATTGGCAACTGTGTTAACTTAATAACTGCAATGATTCACTTAAAGAGCATGACAACAAGTTCATAAAATGAGACTGTCTTGCTTAGCAATGGAAATTTTAAGCTCAATTGTGATCATGAGTTCAGTACTACCAGTACATTCATCATGATGCAATATTCAGGTTCAGACTAAGAACAATTACAGGTAGGAAAGAACTTGGAAACCAGACAGGTTGTATGATTAAGAACCTTGTGACTTACAATACAATCAGCAAAGAGCTGGAAGAAATGTTTGAGGTTTTCTAATCCAATCCTTGCTCAAGCAGGAAACCTATACCATTTCAGATTTTAAAAACTTGTTCAGCCACCTCTTAAAAACTTCCAGTAATGAATTACCCACAACTTCTGATGGCAAGTTGTTCCACTGGTTAATTGTTCTCATTGTTAGGATGTTTCTCCTTCATTCCAGGTTGCTTTACTCCTTGATTAGTTTCCATCCATTGTTTCTTTTCTTGCCTTCTGGTGCTTTGGAAAATAAGTTGACCCCCTCCTCTTTGTGGCAACCTCTTAAATACTAGAATATTGCTATCATATCCTCCCCCCGGCCCAGTGCTTCTTCTCTCTAGATCAGCCAACCCCATTCTATGGACTTGAACATTCCATAATGATGAAGTCGATTCATTGTGTATTCACATTACGATAAATAACGCTGTGATGATACGTCACGTGACGACGTGAGTTTGACACCCCTGGTTTAGAAGATTAAAGTATCAGGTAACAAACATGAAAAACAAATTTTCACATTTTCAGTCACAAATTGACTTCCGTGGACCTTACTTCATACATAAGTGGTCAGTAGGCAGGGTGTGCATAAGTGCACTTATGTGCCTATCGTCCCTGTCATTGTACTTTTGTTCTCTTGTTCTCGACAAATTCCAATAAATAAATAAATAAAATGGTTGCCCTACACTTCAAAACTCTGGTGAGATGTGGCCCATTCTGGACTGAATGGACAATGGGGTTTCCTGCACAGCTAATGCCTGCCCAATGGAAGCTACTTTGGCTGTGTTTGCCATACTGATAGAGAGGTAGTCCTTGACTTACGACTACAACTGAGTTCAAAATATGTTGCTAAGTGAGACATTTACTGAACTTTTGCCCCATTTTACACCCTTTCTTGCCACATTTGTTAAGTAAAACACTGCAGTTATTAAATTAGTTGAGTGGTTGTTAAGTGTGTCTGGCTTCCGCATTGTCTTTGCTTGTCAGAAGGTTTTAAGAGGGAAATTGCGTGGATAATGCAACCATCACAAATATGAACCAGTGGCTGAGCATGTGAATTTTGACCTGGTGGCCATGGGGATGCTTGCAACGGCCATAAGGGTGAAAAATGGTCATAAGTCACTTTTTTCAGGGCCATTGTAACTTCAGATGGTCACTAAACGAATTGTTGTAAGTCGAGGACTACCTGTAGCCAACAACAACAACAACAACAACACACACACATACACACACGTACACAATGACCACCCACCCACCCAGTACAGCCTTCACTGATCTGTTGAAAGTTGTGTGAATACAGCTGGTAACTTGCAGCTGTATTTGTGTCCACAGTAGCCTCTTTTCCCTCCTACTTTTTCTCACCAAACCTGTCTTTGGCATTTTTATATACTTCCAGGCTCGATCCCACATTGCATTCCATACATTCTACTGGAGGCTATGGCTGACTCTCTGCCAAGCAGGTTGCAAAGTCCAGACAGATCAGAGTCTGACTGTTTGCTCTGAAAATCAAAACATAAAATAACCGTCACAGGACTCAAGGTTTCTTAAGCAAGAACAACGTCCCATAAACACAGAGCTTGTTTTTCCACAAATTCTCAATCTTGTTAACTTAGCACCCTAGAAAAGGTGTACAGGGTTTACTTTTTAGCATCTCCTGTTTTAACTGCCTCAGTTTTCACATTGACAACAGTTGTTATTCATCAGAGGCGTTAGCAGGGTGAAGCGGGATACAGCTGCCAGCATCTTACATACTTACATTTAAATGGTTATTGCAAACAGAAAAGTTCTTATTGCTCCATCACAGACTGAGGGTTTTCTTTGAAGTCTTTGCAAGGTTTTGCAATGTGAAATATCTTGCATATTTTTCCAAATACGTGCTTGTGTGCCTGCATGTGCACATAAGGCTGTGGGTGTGGCTCTGTCAATATATATTTATATGTCTATGTGCATGTATAATTTCTGCGATAGAGAAATTATAGAATCTGTGGCCTCCCAAATGTTCTCTCTCCATGGAACCTATTGATTAAAAAAATGTCTACAGTGAACTTCACTTTTTCTTCTTTTCTTATTCCAAGCCAGCCTGCCTGCCTGCCTGCCTGCCTGCCTGCCTGCCTGCCTGCCTGCCTGCCTGCCTGCCTGCCTGCCTGCCT